CCCCAAAACCCCAAAACCCCAAAACCCCAAAACCCCTCTTGAGTCGGCTAAAATTGAAATTTTGCTAAATCTTTCGAAAAGCCCTTAGCCAGTGAATTGGGCAGATAGCCTATTTATTTAGGCTAAGCTTTCCAGCAGGCTCCATTTTTGAAGGATCGAGCTTTTCCTGCTTATTTTTACCTCTTTTAGGCGAATTTTGGATGAAATTGTTCATGACAGTTATTCTCTTGACGTTGGTCTCTTGCTGGACAGTGTCTCTATTTTTCCAGAATGGGTCATCACTCAAGGTGTGGTGAGAGGTGTTTTGGAATTTACCGATTTCAGCCGCAGGTTCTGTGAAGGGAGTTGCGCCTAGCCCTGGCTGAGCTGGAGGAATATACTTCGAAGAGCTGCTTTCTATATCTTAAGGCTTTGAAATACCATGAGCAGAAGACCTTGTATCTCTGGTTGCATAAATCTTCTCCTCAGGTGAGGAATGAGGATAGCTCATTGCAGAGTATAAATCTCAGGGAATTCGTTCAATGCTTCGTCCTTTACTAGCTCTTCGGACCATTTGGCGTTGCTTGAGCTGTTGTAGTTCCATTTCTTTGTGAAGAATCATTTTGGATTCCTCACTGTCATCTCCAGAGTCTTGGAGGAGCCTTTTAAGTCTTAAATTCTCATCGCTTAGGCACTTAAGAGTTTTCTCTTGCCTGAAGGTATCCATTTCGAAGGATTTGCATCTTTCCTGGACTGAATTTAGCTGAGACTTGTATCGGCTTAGCTCTTCCTAAAAGTTATGAGGAGGCTTACCAGTAATCGGCGCTCGTCTTGTTTTGTCTGAGTAATACTGGTCTGTAGCAACTCGTTTTCTCTTTGAAGAGCGAGAAGTCTATCTTTGGTTTGAGTATTTGATGCTTCGAGAGTTTTTATAGTACGCTGATATTCTTGGAACTGGTTCTGCAAATCTTCCTTGTCTTGAGCTAGGTTGATGACATCCCTTTTGTACTGTGAATCAGAAATCTCGTAATCATTAAGCAAATCTTTGCAGGTTTCAAGTTCAGAAGCTAAAGTTGTCAAAGACTCATCTTTAAGTTTGCTGTTACGATCGATTTCGTTGATTTTGGAGATAAGTTCGTCAACCTTGATTCTCAGAGTCGTGTTTTCTGTCTTGTATATATTCTCCTGGCTATTGTAGTTCTTCATTGCGTCAAGGCTGTGGTTCAAGTTCTCTTGGTAGCTAATTTCTCTTTCAAGTTGGCTTACTCTTAAGCTAGAAGCGTGAAGCTTTTGGAGGAGCTCCTCTTTCTCTTCCTGATGCCTTTCTGATTCAATCTGGAACCGCTCTTGAGCTCTGTCGTATTCCATCTGTTGCTTCATGAAAGCTTGCTTTATTGCTTCGACAGATTGGTTTGACTCGTTTGGTGTCTTTAAGAGTTGCCTAGCATGCTGAAGTTGTAACTCTAGGTTCTCATTGGTTAGTATAAGGTCTCTGAAGCCTTGATTAACGGATCATAACATGTTTTCGTATTTCTCAACCGTCAGGCGAAGTTTTTGTTCCCATTTTTCATGATCTGAGGGAGTTTCTTGGCTGAATTCTAAACTTCTAGGCTTACTTTTGGAGGGTATCGTCAATCTGGTACCTCTGGATTTCCTTATTTCTTGTTACTCTGAGGTACGCTGGAATCAGATGAAGAGTCTAAGTCAACCTTGAAGGTATTCTGAGGCCCAGGAGACAGGAACTGCGTCAGCTTTGTATTGCTATTCTTTCTCTCTTCCTTAACTACACTTGTGCTTCTCTATAGAGTGTTATCAGAGATTTATGGAAGATGGTCCTTACTGGCTTAGCCGGAGACTCTTTCTTCATCGCCCGACGGTTGCTCATGATGCTCGCATAAGTATTTTCAGTAGGTTTGCGTTTATTTAGGAGACTGAGTATCACTTATAAGGTTATCTTGGAATCTTTTATCAGCAGATTTTTTTACCTTTTTCCGCATAGTTTGAGCTTTTTTATCATATTTCTCTAGTAATTGTTGCTCAACAATTTCCTTAGCTGAACGGGCGCCTGGGGTTGCGTCTTCGGGCTCCTCTAGATTGTTGGTACCTCTCGCTTGCATATGACAGAATTAAAATTTATTAAAAGTTTTGAGGGGTTTTGGGGTTTTGGGGTTTTGGGGTTTTGGGG